AAACTAATCTGACAAATTTTAATGTGAAAAGGCATAAATGGATAAGCCGTATATATGACTCTGTAACTTTCCAAAACCCTATAAAACCTATACATGGGGGGTACTTTGGCGCTCATGAGACATCACTGAACAGAACTAGTAGTGTTTCAGGGCAGTTAACTATATACTAACAATAATTTTATCAGTGAAAGTACAGATTTTATATGAAAAATGCAAACAAAAAAAACGAATGCTAAATTTGACTAGGGTTTGTGTCCAAGCGGCTACTACAAAACACTGGGAATACCCCATTTTGAATACCCTGGGATGTCTACTTTTCAAATTGTATGCCATGATGGGGGTAATCTTCATTTCCTGGCTGCCATACTGTCTCAGAGGCAACCTAGGCCACGCAAACCAATCTGTCAAATTTCTATGTAGAAAATAAAATAATGGACAAGCCGTATATTTGACCCTGTAACTTTCCAAAACACCATAAAACCTATACATGGGGGGTACTGTTCTACTCGTGAGACATTTCTGAATACAAATATGTATAGTTTACTGCAGGAAAACCGAACAATATTCTGACATTAACAGTTAAATTGCCATGCTGAAATTGAAATATAACAACAATTTGTTTTAATTGTTTTAGATTTTATTCATATAAAATGGAGTTCCATATATGAATGTTTGATATGAAATGAAAGCTTGAAGTTCCCCTGAACAAAATTATATATAATAAGTGTGGGTGCACTTAGTATGAAAGAGGTAAATTATTGTTGAACAGACATATAGTAAAATTCTGTGCTTTGTTTAAATTTTTTGGGGGATCATAACTTGTACATTTGGCTGCAGTCTTAACCCCTTAACGACGAGTAATGGACGAGGTCCGTCACTCAGGGGATTGCTATAACGAAGAGTGATGGACCTCGTCCGTCACCCGTTAAAATTTACCCCGGATCGCGGCGATCGCGGGGTTAATGGTGCTCCGGTCTGCCTCTGTATTAGAGGCAGACCGGGAGCACCCGATAGTGCTGTCCAGCACATGTGCTCGCTCTGACAGCATGTCAGAGCGAGCACATGTGCTTAGTATACTTACCTTCCGCCTCCCTGAACTGGTTCTGTGTGAAGTGCAGGGAGACGGATCAGTGATGATCCCGACCCTGTTAAAAAAAAAATAAAGTTTATTTAAAATCCCACCCCCCTTTACAAATTTTAATTAAAAAATGAACCCCTTTTGATCACTGGCTACAGTGATCAATTGGCAGGGATTACATTTTACTGTCATCTGATTTTTTTTTTAACCCCTGAGGGTTAATTCTTTTTTTTTTAACCCCTGAGGGTTAATTCTTTTTTTTTAACCCTCAGAGGTTAAATTGGTGGGTGGAAGTTAGTGGGGATAGTGGATAGTGGGTGGAAGTTAGTGGGGATTTAGGGGATTTGGTGTTAGGTTAAAAAAAGTTTTAAAATAAACTTTAAAAAGTTAGAAATTAAGCTAAATTTCAAATTTCAGTCCAAATAAAAATTAACCCCTTCCCTGCCAGTCGATCACTGCCTACGGTGATCAAAATACAGATCACAGTATTATACTGTGATCTAATTTTTTTTAACCCCTGAGGATTAACTTGTATTTATTTTTTAACCCTCAGGGGTTCAATTTATTTAATTAATTTAAATATTTTATAATTATATATTTTGCTAGTTGGGGTGGGTGGGAGTTATGGGAAAATTGGGAATTTACTGTTAGTGCTGCTTACTGCTAGTTAGGGGTTAACGGTAAAAAAAAAAAGCTTAGAAAAATGTTAAATCTGTAAAAAAAAGTTTTAAGAAAGTTTAGGAAAGTTTAAAAAAAATTAATAAGCAAAACAAAAGTTTAAAACCTAGTTTTTAAAAGTAAAAAAAGTTTCAAAAAGTAAAAAAATACATTTAAAAACGCTCATTACCACTACACCTGAACAAACTAGAGAAAAAAATGATCCTACGCTAAGGTTCATAAAATGCCTTTTGTATTACCCCAGGGTGTATTCTTTAATAAATAGTATGTGTTTGTGGGAAGTTTCAATAACCAACCGTCTAAACTACTCCATATTGGAACATGGACACAGCGTAAAACTTCAAAGTTAGAAAAAAAATGAATGGCTGCATCTCAAATGCTCCCCTTCAACATCCACATATACCTGGCAAAGGTACATACAGGGTATTGCTGTACTCAGCCGACATAGCTGAGTAACATATGAAGTATTATACAGTGCAAACTCACTTTGTGTGTCAAAAAGGCAGAAAAAATGCTTATTACCACTACACCTGGTACAAGCTAGCGGAAAAATGATCTTAAGTTAAGGTTCAAAATATACCTTTTGAAATACCCTGGGGTGTCTACTTTAAGAAATGGTAGGCCTTTGTGGGGTAGTTTGATTTTAAAACCTGCGAAGATGCTTGGAAATTGCACATAGGCCCAGTGTCAAAATTCAAAGTTCAGTAAAAACTGATATGGCTTGGTCTCCTATATTGCACTGTAGCTTCACAAAATAGTGCCAAAGACATTCATTGGGGATGTCTTTTTACTCAGAAGACTTAGCTGAGCATAATTTGGGGTGGTTTGAACTTAGTGGCACATATGAAATATACAAAATGCCCAGCAAAAATGCAATCTGTATGTAAAAAATGCACAAAATTATTTTTTACCACATACTTATATTGGTGAAAAGGCATAATATGCACCTTATGAGATACCCTGGAGTGTCTACTTTTACAAATAGTAGGCCTTTGTGGGGTTTTTTTTTACCAGTCAAACTACTATAATACCCCAAATGGAAGCAAAGGCTCATTAAATCCGTCTCTCAAAATTCTACTGTGAATACTGAAAAGGACAGGTATCCTGTATGGCACTGTAACTTCACGAAATAGTGCCAAAGACATACAATGGGGGTGTCATTTTACTCAGCAGATATAACTGAACACAAAATAAAACTTTGTACAGGAATAGCACACACCAACTTTACAAAATACACATGAGAATTTCTTTGTTATAAGTTTGTGTACCAAAAACCAAAACCCCCCACAATTTTACATCAATATTTAGCAGAGGTTGACGGTGAAATGGCTACGTAGAAAGTGTCAAAACAACCTTAGGTAAATAGCCCATGATGTCTACTTTATATAAATATATACTTTTGTGTGGCAATTTTGTTTTCTTTTATGGCTATTAAGCTTACAAGACAAACATACCAAATTCTAAAATCGCTCCACATTAAAAGTTTATTTTACTCCTTGTGCTTTGTGACCTGTAACTACCAAAAAAAAAACGTAAAATCCCAGACACATTATATATTCTGAAATCAGAACAGCTAAATGAATTTATTTTTAATTACTTTCCTTAACCTGGACTAATTGTGCACACATTATTGCAAAAACTGTAAAAAAAAACACACAACATTTTTATATATTTTTTGAATTTTTCTGAATTTTTTATAATAAATAAGCATGTCTGTTCAGGCGAAATTCGCCTCTTTCATATTATGTGCACGCACACTTATTATATATAATTTTATTCAGGGGAAACAGAGCTTTCATTTAACATCAAAGATTTAGGTATGAAACATAATTTAATATGAATAAGATGTAAAACAATGGGAAAAAATAAGAATTTAAATTTTTTTTAGTTCTATGTGACATTTTAACTGTGAGTGGTGAGTGTCATAATACTTAAGGGTTAATGGTTGAGATTGCTTAAAAAGAAACCTCTGTCTAGAGAATAAATTATGGCAGGGCTAAAAACTGCTCAACTGGAAAAAATAGAGACTCCACTAAAAAATCCCTAATAGTGCAAACATAAGAAAAATTATTAAATAAAAATTTAATAAAATGTCCAGGAGTGGTTTATAGCTTTGGACTGGTGTTTATGCAATGGTTATAGATTGCAGAAAACTATTCAATAAAATGAAGCAGTAGTATCCAATATTTGCTTTCTCTGAAAAAGAAACTTGAAACTTTAAAGTCCAATATATTACAGTCTTTTGATTAATACTATGTAAAAACATAAAATAAAAATGACAGTCTTTTAGAATCTTTGTTTGTAAGCTAATTCAGTTCACTACAGTTATTGATGAACTGGTATCTGGATACTGAATTAGTTATTTAGTATAGTACAATATAACAATGTATGTGGTCCTTATAATTGAAATATTGTATCTTGTACCAAAAGAAGAAACATTTCATAACCAACAGACTATATTAAGTAGCATTTAGTTATAGTAACACTTTACTCCTAATGAAAGGAAAAAAAGTTATAAAATCCAAGTGCTGATAAAAAATATTTATTGTAGAATAAGCTTTGTATAAAAAAGTAGAAGATACACTCACATTGTATAAAATATATGCTGGATTTGAAGCAGGAGGATGGTGTAAGCAGCTGAGAAAAAATAAATAAACTGTCCGATCGTCAGATGAATAAATGGATCGGTGATATTTAAGCCGCGTGCGTTTCACCAAGCTCCCCTTCTGCGTTCCAGATAGAAGTCGGCAGTTTTTCGGTAGATGCCGGAAAGCAATGCTGTGTCGTCCTGAATGTCGTCCTTAGGAGCTCGGTGAAACGCACGCGGCTTGATTATTGTGGCAGTAATGATGCGAAGGCCAAGGAATGCATTTGATTAACCTCTCATCAATTAATTCAATATATAATTATTGTAATAAATTATAAATTGGATGTATAGAAAATTTTATCATTTATAGTGAACTGCTCATGACAGGTTAATTTTAAGCATAAATATACAAACACAATGAAAGAGAATCAAACACCGAGTCTGTAATGGTTGTGGGGTAATTAGGGCATAACCCAATATGGGTTAATTTTAAGGACATTATGGAGAAACAAGACTTTTTTTAAATTACTTATTAGCTTATTATCTTTCAGTTAATGCATTTTTGGGTAGAAGTATGATCAATTTAGATCTTTTGGCAGTTATGTTTATGAATGTGTAGATGCGCATGAATCAACAATGAGTAAAAAATAGTTTTACCTTGGTTAGAAGAGTTGTCCTTAATTTTTCTGATGGAAGTTTTTGCAGGACCCTCCAACTAAGGGGGAGAAACAGAATTATTATAACATATTTAATATACTCTTTGCATCAGAATTTTATGTCAGATTTAGATATGTTTTTTTCTTGTTTATGACAAAATCACAAGATTTTTAAACCGATAATGAAATACTCTGATGTAATTTATTAAATAAGTAATAGAAATCATAAACCTATTGTGATTAGAGTTTAGCGGACACCTTGAGGTTCGGGTCCAGCGGGTTCGGCCGAACTTTGAAAAAAAGTCCGGGTTCGTGATCGAACTTTACTTTAAAGGGGATCCGAACTTTTGGCCACAAAAATGATTCTAAAAAAGTCCTGGAAATGGCTAGAGGGCAGCAAAAGGAAGTAAAATGGGGGTAAGAGTAGGACAAGTGCCCTGCAAACAAACGTGGATAGGGAAATCACTTAAAATTACATAAAAATTAAAAATACAGCTGAGCTATAAAATAGCACTAGATGGAATCTTTGATTTTAGCTTTGGAAGAACATAAAGCAAAATCTAAAGCATGGCTGTCAGGAGGATCACCAGAATTATCCATTTGAGAGAGGGTTGGAGTGCAGGGTATTGTCTTTCATTGTTCAAACTGAGCTCAACTCCTGATGCATGGAGAAAAGGCCTCTGCTATTGTGTAAAGTTTATACTAAGTGACCCATAGGTTGAGGAGGCGGTGACCGTGGCGGTGTAGGTGGAAGCGGTGGTGGAGGAGGAGGAGGAGGTAGCCAACACTGTTTTTTTTTTTTTTTAATTGGGACATACAAAAAAAAGAAACATTTGTGGCCTGCGGTGCATTTCTTGCAGTCCTGATGCATGGAGTAATTCACAACTCCTGACTGTGGTGGTGTAGGTGGAAGCAGCCAGGGCAGCCATCAGAACTTTTGGGGCACCTGACACAGCTCAAGGTCTGGGCCCCCGGTGCCTGGATGTAGTGTGTGTATACTGAATGCAGAGTGTGTCTTTGTGTAGTCGATGTAGTGTGTGTATAGTGACTACATAGTGTGTTTGTGTAAGTATTTAATGTGTGTATAGTGACTGCAGAGTGTGTGTGTAAGGATGTAGTGTGTGTAGTGACTGCAGAGTGTGTGAGTGTGTAAGGATGTAGTGTGTTTAGTGACTGCAGAGTGTGTGTTTGTGTAAGGATGTAGTGTGTGTGTAGTGACTGCAGAGTGTATGTCTGTGTAAGGATGTAGTGTGTGTAAATGTTAGTGTATAGTGTGTGTAAATGTTAGTGAATGGTGTGTGTAAATGTTAGTATATAGTGTGTGTAAATGTTAGTGTATAGTGTGTGTAAATGTTAGTGAATAGTGTGTGTAAATGTTGCTGTTTAGTGTGTGTAAATATATGGGGCTGCATAATGTGGGGGGGAAAGCCTACAGCATTTTTTTTCTTACATTAATTGTAATGTTTTATTCCACCCCTCCCTGTGTCTTACCTTTGGCCATGGAGGGGGGAGATCATGTGGCATGGTGCAGCCCTCATGCTACCTGTATTCTGCAGGGGGCCCGGCACACTTGAAATATAATTCCCAGCTACTCTGCTCTGTCGAAGTCTCGCGAGCCGTGCGGAGCATTGCCATGGTAGCCCACAGTGAGATTTAGACAGAGCAGAGTATCTGGGAAATTAATTTCAAGTGTGCCGGGCCCCCTGCAGAATAAAGGTAGCGGGAGGGCCCGAAGTGCACACATATATAGCGTTAATCACTATATATGTGTGCACATAGCTAATGTGGGGCCCGGGACGCCCTGAGCAGTCCGGGCCCCCCAGGACTGCCGGGCCCATGACAACAGTCATGGTTGTCATGCCCTGATGGTGGCCCTGGAAACAGTGGTGGAGGAGGAGGATGAGGTAGCAAATACTATTTTTTATTTTTTTATTTTTTTATTGTGGTAGCCCACAAAATATTGGGACATACAAAAATAGAAACATGTGTGGCCTGCGGTGCATTTCTTGCAGTCCTGATGCATGGAGAAATGCTCAACTCCTGATGCATGGAGAAAAGGCCTTCACAAGCCTCTGCTAATGTGTACATAGTTTATACTAAGTGACCCATAGGTTGAGGAAGCGGTGACCGTGGCGGTGTAGGTGGAAGCAGCGGTGGAGGAGGAGGATGAGGTAGCCAACACTGTCTTTTATATATATATATATATATATATATATATATATATATATATGTATTTTAATTGGGGTATCCCCCAAAATATTGGGAAATATAAAAAAAAGACAACTCTGTTCCGCAGATTAGCTGTTGACATAATAGTTGCGCAGGCAACCTCGGGACAATTGCACATCCCCGTGACAGCGACTTTGCATTCGGATGTCATCCATATCAACTTTCGATGCCAGTTTCTGCACCTACTATGGTGACCAAGGGTAACGGGGAATCAGAGTTCCATTCCGTACAGGGACCCTGAGAAACGGCTACCATATGCAAGGAAGGCAGCAAGCACACAAATGACCCACTCCTGACGCGGGAAGGTAGTGACGACAAATAACAATACAGGACTCTTTAGAGGCCCTGTAATTGTAATGAGTCTACTTGTAATCCTTTAACTTTGATCAACTGTAGGGAAGTCTGGTGCAAAGCCACTGACCCGTGCGTGCTGCAGCTGAAACTCCACTGTCGCCTGATGCTGCTCGCTCATGAGGTGGCGAGCGGGAAGGCCGAAGTTACGCTGCAGCGAAGACAGGCGAGCAGCAGCAGGGTGAGAACGCCAAAAGCATGCACAGCCGCTACAGTGAATGTCACATCCTGTTCCAAGTTGCGGATCAGTCTGGTGATGGCTTCTGGTATCCAGTACTCTTTTTACTTAAGCTGCATCAGGGTCCTGGTATGTGGCCGCACAAACGCTGGTGCTCAACACCAGGGGCGTGCGGTTACCCTCCACCAGACCCTGCTAATCCATTCCACACTGTGACTCCTAACTTCAACATCAGGCATACTGGGTCCCGGTCGTCCAACTGCCACCCAGACAGTGTCTGGGTCCTGGTCACCGGACTGCCCACCTGACTGTAAAACTACGAATGAATCGCTAAATCTGGTATGAACCTGAACTTTGCTGTTCGGGTTCGCACAACTCTATTATGGATCCTTTGATCGCTACATGTATTACTTGGATACCTGGTAATTCTCGAGCTAATACATGCTGACGAGCACTAGGGGATGGCTGCTCCGCTTTTGCACCCTGCTCCCTCTTATGCTGTGCTGGTGCCTCTCCAAACTGCACACGTCACTCGCATGACCTTGATTCCATGTGGGGTCTAGGACCTCATCATCCTACACATCATCTTCCACCGACTCCTCAACCCTGCCCTCCTTGCTGGTATGCACACTGCAGAAAGCCACCGCAGATGGCACCTGTGTTTTTCTAGCATGTAAAGTCTGCAAAGGACATATGGAAATTGTTTTAGAATTGTATCCAGGCAACAGTTTTCCCTATAAACTGACTTCTCAGTTTGACTTGTGAGGGTATTGCTCCAGAATTACAATACTGTTGAAGTACCTCTTAGCTATTGATAACTGGTTTCAATATAGCAGCTTGTTATCTGGTAGTTTCTAGTGTAGAAAATATCAATCTGTTTTCTATCACTTAGATCTGTGTAACAAGTGTTGTAGGTGTGAAACAATATTACAAGTGACCGATGTAGTAAATTTGAATCAAAGTTACGCTTCGATTTAACTCTCAGATATGAAGTGAACACCTCAAATATACTATTTTTTTTTTTAAATTGACTTTTTAAAACTCCAGCAGATAAGCAGGAAAACAATTAGAATGTTTACAACTGTGCAGTAAGCACACTATTTGACACTTCTATTTGTCTCTCAGATATGAAGAGCAGGCCCCAAAATGTACTATTTAGCAGATTAGCACCCAGAAAATTAGAATTTTTACAACTGCGCTGTAAGCACACTATTAGACGCTTCGATTCGACTCTCAGATAGGAAGTGCACCCCACTAAAATACTATTTAGCAGTTTAGCACCCAAAAAATTTAAAGTTTTAAAACTGCAATGTGACAGCAGTATTTGATGCTTCTATTTAACTCTCAGATATGAAGTGCACCCCACTAATGTACTAGTTTGAAGAATTCTTTCCTAAGCTGTCACAGCGGCAGCATTCTCTCCCTACACTAATAAGAGCTCATATGCGTGCGGCGCTACGCGACTCCAGTTTATATATTGTGGCTGGGTTACATGCTGCACTGGCCAATCACAGCCATGCCATTAGTAGGCATGGCTGTGATGGCTTCTAATGGCACACAAGTTGATTGGCTGCCCTGCAGCCTTTGAAAACATGCCATTAAATCGCCGAACTCCAAACCCGAACATACAGTGATATGTCTGTGTTCGGTCCAGGGTCCAAAAAACTTAATGTTCGGTACAAACTCTACTCTAATTGTGATATATTCTCTACATAATTGCACAATTTATTCTGCAATGGGCAAAATTATTATTTTTTTAAACTTCTAACATGATTGAGTTTTCAGAATTTGATATTTTGGACAAAATCTTGTAACGTTATCACTCGATTGTTTGCACCTCACTTCAAAACTATTAATACAAACCAGCTATAATTTGGGAATAGGAATGCAGGCATTTTAGTGGATAGGAAATAAAACAAACAAAAGGAAAAAGGGACAGAGGTCTATTTTTAATTTGTACATTTCTAAGTTTGTTTATTTTTTCAACATTTTTAGTATGAATTGGTAATTAATGTCTTTATCTAAAAATGTGTAATAACAAAGATTTTTTTTTTTCGTTTTTGAAATCTTGGACACTCATACTTAATTTAGATAGTTACACACACTACTTAACACTGCTGTGGCAGGTTCTTCCCCTATTACACAAAATGGAGAAAGTAGACTATTCCCTTTGAGATGGTCGCTACCCCTCTTAGAACTTTACTCGACCTAAGTACTTGTGATTTATTATGGTGCTGGTTAATAAACACAGATCAGTTAGACTTCCGTACCAGAGATTCCACCTGAAAATCTAGCCCTTTCCTTCCTGTGTCAATGTCGAAGTTCTTAAAGGACCACTATAGTGCCAGGAAAACATACTCGTTTTCCTGGCACTATAGTGCCCTGAGGGTGCCCCCACCCTGAGGGACCCCCTCCCGCTCGGCTCTGGAAAGGGGAAAGGGTTAAAAACTTACCTTTTTCCAGCGCTGGGCGGGGAGCTCTCTGCCTCCTCTCCTCCTCCGATCCTCCTCCTGGGCTGAATGCGCACGCCGGCAAGAGCTGCGCGCATTTCAGCCTGTGATAGGAAAGCATTTACAATGCTTTCCTATGGACGCTTGCGTGCTCTCACTGTGAAAATCACAGTGAGAAGCACGCAAGCGCCTCTAGTGGCTGTCAATGAGACAGCCACTAGAGGATTAGGGGGAAGGCTTAACCCATTCATAAACATAGCAGTTTCTCTGAAACTGCTATGTTTATTAAAAAATGGGTTAACCCTAGCTGGACCAGGCACCCAGACCACTTCATTAAGCTGAAGTGGTCTGGGTGCCTAGAGTGGTCCTTTAACAATATAACATAACTTACTGAAAATCTTTGTTACATTTTCTGAATAACAGAATAGGCAGTCTGGTGCAGTATAAATATATAGCTATCAATAAAGCATATCTTACAAAAAAAAACATTTAAAATTAAATAATAAATAAGGTAACTCACATGCACAAGTCATTACATAAACTAATCACCCTAATGGCGAACTATTAGTTGGTATTCTCAGCAATATAACATACCTTACTGGTAAGATTTTTTAGAAGGTCTACATAAAGAGTATCTATTCCTGCCGAAGTAATTCTGAAAAGAAATAACAAAGTTGAATCAGTTGCTTAGAAAGTGACTCATTATGAATACTAAACATACAACAGCAATTGCGTGTAGCTACTAAAAATCAGTTTTCTGTAGAGCATCAGATTGCCGACAGAAGCTTTTGAAACCTCGGAGATCTCTTACACACAAAAACTAAATAACTTGCAATGCATGATAACCGTGTTACATAGTTACATAGTTACATAGCTGAAAAGAGACTTGCGACCACCAAGTTCAGCCTTCCTCACATATGTTTTTGCCGTTGATCCAAAAGAAGGCAAAAAATCTAGTCTGAGGCGCTTCTAGATTTGCAACAAACTAGGAAAAAAATCCTTCTTAACCCCAAAATAGCAGTCAGATGTCTCCTTGGATCAAGCAGCTATTACCCCACTAATTAGAAATTATATCCCTGTATGTTATGTTTTTGCAAGTATTTAGCCATACTAAAAGAGCCTAAATATACAGTTGTGCATTAAATCATAGTAACGGCTCATTTTCAATATCATTTGTAAATATATGTCAAGTTGTTGCTATCAGCCCCTTAACCCCTTAAGACCGGAGGGCGTACAATTACATATATATATACATATATTAATTCTACATATATATTTATGTAATATTTTTACATAATTAGTTATCTTAATTAATTACAATTAGCGGGACCTGCCTGACAACCCATGCTGAAAGCAAAGGGAATTTAATTTGCTAGCACTATATTTAACCCTATAACTTTCCAAGACACCATAAAACCTGTACATGGGGGGTACTGTTTTACTCGGGAGACTTTGCTGAACACAAATATTAGTGTTTAACACACAAACAGCACTTTTACTGATGATATAATTGTTGTGATACTTTTTTCAGTTTTTAAACACTAATATTTGTGTTCAGCAGTGTCTCCCGAGTAAAACAGTACCCCCCATGTACAGGTTTTATAGAATTTTCGAAAGTTACAGGGTCAAATATATGGGTCAAATATTTTTACATTGAAAATGGCCAGGTTGGTTACGTTGCCTTTGAGAGCGTATGGTAGCCCAGGAATGAGAATTATCCCCATGATGGCATACCATTTGCAAAAGAAGACAACCCAAGGTATTGCAAATGGGGTATGTCCAGTCTTTTTTAGTAACCACTTGGTCACAAACACTGGCCAAAATTAGTGTTCAATTTAGTTTTTTTACTTTTTTCACACACAAACAAATATGAATGCTTATTTTGGCCAGTGTTTTCGACTAAGTGGCTACTAAAAAAGACTGGACATACCCCATATTGAATACCCTGGGTTGTCTACTTTAAAAAAAATATGTACATGTGGCGTGTTATTCAGAGAATTATGACAGATAATAGTGTTACAATGTCACTATTGATAAATTTTAAAAATGTATCAATAGTGACATCTTTTTAGCAGTTTTTTTCATTCGCTTTTGTAGATGAGTAAAAGATTTTTCAAGTAAAAGTCAAAAAACAGGGATATTTTTAAATTTTTCATCATTTTTTTTTTAAATTAAACTACATGAGACTATATAAATAATGGTATGTAAAGAAAGCCCCTTTTGTCCTGAAAAAAACAATATATAATTTGTATGGAAACAGTAAATGAGAGAGCGGAAAATTACAGCCAAACACAAACACCACAAAAGTGTAAAAATATGCCTGGTCGCAAATGTACAACATCGCAAAAACAGTCCAGTCCTTAAGGGGTTAAGGACTGAGCCAAATGTACATGTTGTGATCAAAACAAAACGTAAACAAAAACAATATGTCTGTTCAGGCGTAATTCGCCTCTTTCATATTATACCCACACTTATTATATATCATTTTATTCAGGGGAAACAGGGCTTTCATTTAACATCAAATATTTAGGTATGAAACATAGTTTAATATGAAAAAGATATAAAAAAAAATGGGAAAAAATAAGAATACATTTTTTTTTTTAGTTCTATGTGACATTTTAACTGTGAGTGTCATAATACTGTTTGCTTTTACTGCAATAAAATACACATATTTGTATTTAGCGATGTCTCACGTGTAAAACAGTACCCCCTATGTACAGGTTTTATGGTGTTTTGTGAAGTTACAGGGCCAAATATAGAATGTTACATTTTTCAGTTTTTTCACATTGAAATGCGCCAGATTGGTTACGTTGCCTTTGAGACCGTATGGTAGCCCAGGAATGAAAATTACCCACATGATGGCATACCATTTACAAAAGTAGACAATCCAAGGTATTGCAAATGGGGTATGTCCAGTCTTTTTTATTAGCCACTTGGTCACAAACACTGGCCAAATTTAGTGTTAATATTTGTTTGTGTGTGAAAAATGCAAAAAACTAATTTGAACGCTAATTTTGGCCTGTGTTTGTGACTAAGTGGCTACTAAAAAAGACTGAACATACTCCATTTGCAATACCTTGGGTTGTCGTGTTTAGCAAATGGTATGCCATCATGGGGGTAATTTTCATTCCTGGGCTACCATACGGTCTCAAAGGCAACATAACCAATCTGGCAAATTCAATGTAAATAAAAAGGAAATTCAAGCCTTATATTTGACTCAGTAACCAAACCTGTACATGGGAGTTACTGTTATACTCAGAAGACTTTGCTGAACACAAATATTAGTGTTTAAAAATAGTAAAACGTATCACAACAATTATATCGTCAGTGAAAGTAAAGTTAGTGTGTGAAATATGCTAAAAAAAATTGCATTTTTACTGACAATATCATCGTTGTGATATGTTTTACTGTTTTTAAACACTAATATTTGTGTTCAGCGAAGTCTACTGAGTAAAACAGTACTCCCCACGTACAGGTTTTCGTGTGTCATAGAAAGTTACAGGGTTAAATATAGGGCTTGCGAGCCAAATTCTCTGGACTTTCTGCCTGGAATGTCGGGCAGGTCCCTCAGATTGAAATTAATAAAATGACTTAATTATGTAAAAATATTATATAAATATATTTGTAGAATTTAAATATATATGTATATGTATATTTTTATTGATATATAGCTCTATGGATAGAGATAGATACATATACATGTATTTATAATGACATCCTAAATGAATTTTGAATTTAATATATGTATATTAATATCAAAATACAGTTAGAACAAATTAACACTGGTATAATTTTTTCAATTTTAATTTTTTAATTTTTAATTATTATTTTTTATTTTATATATATATGTATAATGTTATTCGAAGAGTATTTTAATATTAATATATATATATATATATATATAATTGTATATATTAATATTAAAATACTCTTTTATTAATGATGTATGTATGTATGTATGTGTATGTGTATATAAGTACTTTTTATTTAATTTAAACACTGTTTAATAACTTTTAATAACTTTTTAAAACATTTTTACAGGTATGAGGGGGACTGCCTGAAAGCTCAGGCAGGTCCCCTGCAGACACTGCATAAGCCGGCTATTCCGGCTATTCCGGCCATGTGATCGTGAGGACCCAGCGATCACATGGCCGGGGGGGCCGGATTGGGCAGAGGGGGTCTGTCTGAGCTCCCAGGCAGACCCCAGGATCGCGACTGCTGTCTGGGGAATGGCGGGGATCCGGTAAGTAGTAAGAATGGTGGGGATGTTCTATGCCGCCCACCGGCGTTTAGGACTGCCCCAAAAAGTATGGCATAGAATGCCTGCCGTCCTTAAGGGGTTAACAGCAAAGGGTGTTTAGTTGCAACTTCTGTTTACTGACAGGTTTCCAAACTTGTCGCCACTTTTAACCCGCAGGCTGACTTTAACGTCTCCTCGCAAAGATTCCAAACAGTGACAACTGAGCTGCTCCCTGGTAAATCACTCAACCACATGCTGTTTAAATTGTCGCAATAGCAACAAAGTGATAGCAAAACTGTATACAATGTATTAAACTGTCATTTTTATCTGATACTTAACAAGGCACATAGGGACTACTTTGCTTATGTATTTCCCCTAGGCCTGATAAACCTTGAGAATGGGTGGAGCTTAAAGTAAGCTCCAATTGCTTTATTAGCTTGACAAACTTGACAAACTTGACAAAGGAAGTGGAGCTTGCCTTAAACTCCACACTTTGTCAAGATTTGTCAGACATAGAAAAATTAAACAAGACAAAGTAATCCCTATGAATGAAAAATAGATCAGAAATAAAGAAAATAAGAGCAGATTCAGATAGAAGAATGAAAGTGTAATCAATAGAGCTTATGTTTGATGTAACAGATCCATTTTATGAACTATCTTACTACCTTATATTATGATGGATTTACTTTGTTGAACATTTTATTCCTTTGCATAGTTAAATAACTTGGACAAAACGCAAATATGATTGTGATAAGTGATGTCTAGGACATTACTCTCTAACCTTGTATAGGTTCCCTCTTTAAATAGCAATATTACTAATCATTTCTGACTGTCCCCATAACAAACATAACTCAATGATACCAAATCTTCTGTGGTTTTTCATTCACTAAATACCTTCCCACCATTGTTCCCAAGTATGGAAATGACACAATGTTAATTTTATGAAATGCAATGTTGGCAATACTTACGTTACTCCACCCAGCACCTGTACGTCAAGATTTCCATTTCCATCAACCTGCAGGCCGACATAAGAAAAACCGGCACTATCCGTATATCCAAGGGTTAAAGTACATTTCAAAGTTCCTCTGACTGTAGCTATTGGAACAGGGATTATATCGTACCTGAATAATAAGAAACACAAGTTAAGCATTAGCAACAATGTTCAGTCATTTAGACTCTATACCCTGACAGATGTTTAATTTGGACACTTTAATCCACTTAATCCAATTAAACTGCTAATACTAAAAACCAGAGTAGTACTATTTAGAGATTTCATTAGGTTAGAAACTGCAGTAGATAAGTGGAACACCTGTTTTAGTATTTATTGACCTGAAATTAATTTTTTAAGACTTCATTGAGGCATCCTTTAAGTCCTTTTTAAGTACTTTAAGCTTTTCAGGAAGCTTTAAAACCATTAAAAAAAAAAAACACTATAAATTCTACAGCGAAGAGCTCTATATTGTGAGAATCACAAGACCCAGACCTACATTGTGATGCATAGTATGTCTCTGAAGTATTAAAAATTAAGGCACAGTCACAGTTTAGAAATTGCCCTTCAAATTTGAGCTGGCTAGAGTGGAGTTTCAATGAATGTCAATGGACGGCGTGAGTTGCAAACAAATGGTCATATTGTGAAAACTATCAGGACTATGGCTTAGCTGTGGACTATGGCTTTTAGTGGCAGCAGGGATAGCGGAACGTTTTGATATAAGATTTGTGTAGGTGGGCTTGAAAATGAAGGAGTGGTGGCAGTTTAGAAATCATGTCCTGATTTTTCAGCTTTTGTCAGCTCCCACTCTAGTTTTGAAAATTTTGCCATTCATTCCTATGAGACCAATTTCGCCACAAGAACGATGATATTCCGTGATCCATTCGGTGAAACGTTCCACAAAGTAATAGCAATCCAATCGGGAACAATCCACACGTTTTGGTATATTTCTGTCTATGTAGTGTAAAAACTGTGGGAGGATTTAGGGTGGTAAATTTGGCTATAATATTAATATTTGTGAGATAACATTAACCCCTTAACGACTGAGGATGGTTCAGGACCATCATCTGCATTTTTCCATTGCCGACCGGTGATGGTCCTGAATCGTCCTAACGGTCTTATGTACTTACCCGATCGCCGGCGATCGGCGGTGCTCCCGGTGTGGGGAGACTGCCTGCAGTCCAGACAGTCTCCCCATGGTGGATTAGGACCCCTGTGACCATGTGACCGCTCAACAGAGTAGTCACATGGTCACAATAGGTGTCCATGTGTCTGCCTGCAGGGGGACTGTCTGTGCTGACAGGCAGTCTCCCTGCTAGTGTAAAATCATAAAAAAAATGAAAGTTAATGTTAATAAAAAAAATTAGATATGTGTACATATATATGATATATAGACATATATTATATATATATAATATATGTCTATATATCATATATATATATAATGTCATACTAAGTGTATTTTTATATTAATATGTACATATATTAATATAAAAATACACTTGTAATTAAATTACACACGTGTATATATAATATCTATAATAACTATATATATTGTATATATATATATATATATATATATATATATTATAAAATACAAATAATAAGTAGATTAAATTAAATAAAAAATGAAAAATAATAATAATTATTTTTTTAAATTATATCTATATGAAATTTTATTCTAACTGTATTTTGATATTAAAATATATATATATTTATATCAAAATACACTTAGAATGAAATTGTATATATAAATAAATAAAAATAATATGAAATATACATTTCTACTTGCATATTTATGTAATATTTTTACATAATTAAGTAATTTTATTAATTGCAATTTGAGGGAACTGCCTGCCAACCCAGGCCGAAAGTCCAGAGAATTTAATTTGCTAGCACTATATTTTACCCTGTAACTTTTTATGACACCCTAAAACCTGTACATGGGGGTTACCGTTTTACTTGGGACACTTCGCTGAACACAAATATTAGTGATTCAAAACAGTAAAACATATCACAGCGATGATATTGTCAGTCAAAGTGACTTTTTCGCATTTTTCACACACAAACAGCACTTTTACTGATGATATAATTGTTGTGATTCGTTTTACTATTTTTAAACACTAATATTTGTGTTCAGCAAAGTCTTCCGAGTATAACAGTACACCCCATGTACAGATTTTATAGAGATTTTGAAAGTTACAGGGTCAAATATATGGGTCAAATATTTTTACATTGAAAATGGCCAGGTTGGTTACGTTGCCTTTGAGAGCGTATGGTAGCCCAGGAATGATAATTACCCCCATGATGGCATACCATTTGCAAAAGAAGACAACCCAAGGTATTGCAAATGAGGTATGTCCAGTATTTTTTAGTAGCCACTTAGTCACAAACACTGGCCAAAATTAGCATTCAATTTAGTTTTTTACTTTTTTCACACACAAACAAATATGAACGCTAAATTTAGCCAGTGTTTGCGACTAGGTGGCTACTAAAAAAAACTGGACATACTCCATATTGAATACCCTGGGGTGTCTACTTTAAAAAAAAATATGTACATATGGGGTGTTATTCAGAGAGTTATGACAGATAATAGTGTTACAATGTCACTATTGATAAATTTGAAAAAATTTATGTTTTGAAACCGCAATATCATACTTGTACCTATAGCCCTAAAAAGCATGCAAACACTGGGTATTTTAAAACTCAGGACAAAATTTTGAATCTATTTAGCAGTTATTTTATTCGCTTTTGTAGATGAGTAAAAGATTTTTCAAGTAAAAGTCAAAAAACATGTATTTTTTTCAATGTTTCATCATATTTTTTTTTTTAAATTAAATTACATGAGATTATATAAATAATGGTATGTAAAGAAAGCCTTTTTTGTCCTGAAAAAAACAATATATAAATTTGTATAGGAACAGTAAATGAGAGCGTGGAAATTTACAGCTAAACACAAACACCACAAAAGTGTAAAAAGAGGCCTGGTCGCAAATGTACAACATCGCAAAAAAAGTCCAGTCCTTAAGGGGTTAAGTGGTCTTGCTATGCAAGAACACTTAATAATACATTTTTACTGTGGGAGTGCACTTTAATTTTAACAGCAGGGTTCCCCTTTCACACGTTTTTAAAATAAAAGTTATTTTTTTTAGTGTTTACTCCCTACATCCAAGACAGTTTCTGCTAGGCAGCTGCTACTCATCTTCTCAGATCATCCTTATGGATGGTTTATGGTCTAATCCAATTCTTCTCATATAGAAGTCTTAAGGGCTAACTGTGCATGTCCAACAACCACTGTACTTTTATAAGAAGCATCCAAATAAGTCAGCTATGCCAAATGTGAAGACTTTTAATTATTGAAAGTCTTAACAAGGAAGTGTCTCTGTTGGCTAACTGCTTGACTTTGCACCAAACCCGCTAATACTAAGGTGTAGTGGTTTTGGTGCTAAGAGTGTTTATTGGGGTACTGTGATGTAGGGGTGAGCTTAACACAATATGGCCACATGGTGGAACTGAATCCCCATATTTATTTGCTAAGATAGGTGATTTTAAGTAGCCTTGTTAAATGAAAAACTGTATTTTTGTCTGTGTGTGTGCTGTTCCTTTAACTGTATTTTAAAAAAAATAAAATTTACTCACGAAGTTACGGCAGCATTAATGCTTCCATCAAACACCAAAACTACCACGTCACTGTCATCTGTAGATGCATGTATTAGTGCTAAATTAACGTCTATACCCTTGATAGTGACCCTACAAGAACATAGAAAAGAACAGGTTCCATTTTATACATTAAGAAAGTAAAGTGGGCAAAGTAAAACAAAACAGTGGATAAGCAAAATTAGAATGTAACCCTGAAATTTATAAATTGTATTTATGCAATAAACTGAATGGTATGTTTGTTTTAATAACATCAGCTTTCACTTTAAGGGTTACTCCAAGACCATGACCACTTTAGTGATTGGAAGTGGTCATGGTGCTTGGCATATGTATGTGCAGCATTACAGTTTGAAATGCTGGACATGAAGCGTTAAAACCCTTTGCTGTCCACCTCAGGTAGAGCCAGCCTGGCTAATATTAGAATAGCGTGCTGGCAAGAGATGATCAATGGCAGCATGGCCTTTATTCCACGGCACCCAGTTCCTTCCTTCAGCCCATCCTCTCTGACATTCTTCAGGTTTCATGTATGTATGTGTGTGCATGGAACCAAAGATGGCTAGGGTTGCACTCACCTGAACATGCATATATTACAGGGTGCTCTGGGGCCAATGTATACAACATACAAATTACAAAAATATGTGGACACCTCTTCTCATTATCAAGTTCAGGTGTTCCAGCCATTTTCATTACTTCCATGTATATTAATTCCTACTCATGAAATTTCCATAGACAATGGGTTCTTCCAAAGTGCTGTCTTTGGCCCACTGACACTGTCTTTGTTCTAAGTCCAGGGACAGTGCAAGGATTTTTGGATACACAGACAAAGATGCATTTTGCCACCCCTCTGTTCCCTCTGTTTCTCATTACCCCAGTCCCCTTGATTTGTCTCATTCTCACAGATTCCTTATTTGCGCCTCATTCTCCCACCTTAGTTCCAATTAAAGATCATATTGGTGTGTCTGTGTACAACATTTTGTGGAAGGTCTTGCCACATACTCTTCCATTATGACTGTGTCCCTGTGTACAAAGAGAGATCCATAAAGAAACAATTTGACAAGTTTGGTGTTGAGGAACTGGCATGGCCTGCACAAAGCCCTGACCTCAATCCCACTAAACACCTTTTGCAATGAATTGGAACGCTCATATAGGTGTAACATTCAAATACTTTTGAGCAAGTAGCTTATATATGTTACTTAATAAAATAATCACATATTTATCCACCTCTCCACCCACATTTAAATAGTAGTACTTACTTTACGAGTCCAAGAATGTCCAAGTTTACATCAAAATTCACATCCAGGAGTCCCACAAATATTTCATCAGCGTCGAAGTGATTGTGAAAAACTGCATTACATTGATAACATTATGATTTTTGAAAGTATTGTATAATGTACCCAATTTAAAAAAAAAATACTTTCATCCTGCCACTGCAACCATATGTATTATGTTTTGTTAAACTGACACTGTATTACACAGATACTTTTTGTGCCATACTGTAATGATAAGAGATATAGTAAAATAAATTCTACGAGTAGAAAACAAACCCAAATCTAAACTACAGTACAGTTATTCTGCACATTCACTGGTCAAGAGAAACATTCATTTAAAAGTTCTACAGCTATCTTTAAAATAATACTTTTAAGGCGCTCTTCCAATGTTTTTGGCAAATATCTGCTGTAAACTGGTTTCATTAGCAACAATTAGTAAATAATTGCATGTCTACCTTAATCTGATTACAAGAGTCCTCCAGCTCTTGTGAAACCTCTTTCGGAGGGTGGAGATACTTGGTAGTATAAGTGTCAGTGTAGATAGGGGAGGTTAGGTGTGCTCAGATGAATAGTGGGGTTAGTGTGGAAAGGTCTATCAGAGGGAGGAGAAGAACTAGAGGGAGGAGATGATGGATGGTAGAATGGGTGAGACAGATCACAAGAGATGGGAAGTATGACAAGTATGGGAATATTGACAAAACAAGAACATGAATACTTGATGGTAACACACCCTAGAATACCAGGCTATTACTTCTTGCCCAAAATCCATAAACATGAAACAAGACCACCGGGAAGACCCATCATCTCGGGCATAGGATCAATATCTGCCCCGTTGTCAGAATATATCGATCAATTTCTCCAACCCATAGTTAAGAAAACCAAAGCATATTTACGAGATACGGGACATATCTTGAGAATCTTGGAGGATATCGAGTGGAAGGAGGGAAATCTTTTAGTTACTGCTGACGTTTCGTCACTTTACTCGATTATCCCCCAACAAATTGGGATTGAAGCTGTTAAATCTTTTTTAACCGAAACTGAGTTAACCCTTGAACATCAGGAATTCATCCTAGATGGAATCAATATGATTTTGCATAATAATAATTTTTATTTTTTGTATTCCTTCTATCTACAGGTACTGGGAATGGCGATGGGGACCAGGTTTGTGCCCAGCTATGCCAACCTCTTTATGTCATTCTGGGAGGAGACGTGTATATATATATATGGAGAGCATGGCTGGGCTCGAAATCTGGTCACCTATCGCCATTTCATTGACGACTTATTCTTTATTTGGAGGGGTTCCGTGGAAGAACTTCAGCAGTTTGTTGAGTTTCTTAACTCCAGTACTTGGGGTGTCAGTCTGACCATGGACCATAGTGACAGCGAAGTACATTTTTTAGATCTTCATATTTTTATATCTGCCATGAGGATCCAGACTAAAACCTTCTTTAAGAAGGTGGACGTCAACAGTTTTATTTTTTTCGACAGCTGTCACTATGGCCCCTGTTTGGATGGCATACCCAAAGGCCAACTTATGCGAGTTAGACGTAATTGTACTAATGAGGATGATTATACTATCCAAGCGACAAAATTGCTAGAAGATTTTAGGATGAAAAATTATCCAGAAAAAACAATAGAGAAAGCTTCTCAAGCTGTCCAAAGGATTGATAGAAAAGACCTTTTAAAAGAGAAAAAAACCCGAGAAGAAAACTGAAAAAAATGGAAAAAATGGCCTAAGAAGTATAGAAACCCAAGGAGTGCCATTAATATTCAATTACTCAGGAAATAGTAAGAAGTTAAGAAAGATTGTAAATAAATATTTGTTTATTCTCTCTGGAGATCCCCTGTTAGAAGAAATAATCCCTAAAATACCTAGGGTTATGTAGCGGAGTAGTGGTATTATCCACGGTATCTCCGCTGGTAGACAGGATGAAGCAGGTAAAATGTAGGTAAAATGCAGGTAGCGTAGTTACAATCCTTTTCTCCTAAGAACTAGACGACCCATAGCTTGGAGGTTAAAACACTGGCATCTCACCAGGCTGAGTCAAACTCTTTAATGATTACAGTTTCCTTTAAACACAGACCTCCGCAGGGGGGTCTGCATTCCACACAATACACTTCCCTTAGTCCCAGGCAGGAGGGGGTTGGGTTACAGATAGCCATCTCCTGCCTTAGGAGATAACAAGCAGTACACAGGAATACACTTTACATCATATTACATTCAGGGGTGGTTACACTTTAAGTGGCTGGTTTGGCAACAGATAGGAATAGCAATGCAGTAATAGCAAGATATATACAAGGACATTCTGTAAGTGGCTAGGTTTGCCACAGGTTATTTATAGAGGAGTACCCAGCATTAGGAATCAATTAGTAAAATGTAGTTTTAAAAATGAGAAAAAGAACACAACATTCCTCACTGAAGAAATTGGTTTCTTTCAATGTGGCTATTGTTTGACCTGTAGGCGGACAGGAACGCAGACAAAGGTAGTGAAAGAATTCGAAGATAGAACAAAATACAATACATACAAGAGCTTATTATGTGTCACAGCAAATATTGCATCTATGTTTTGACTTGCCCATGCAACTTACAATACGTGGGCAAGACCACACGAAAAATATATGTACGTATTGGAGAACATGTTCGCAACATCCGAAAAAGTGTTAAAGAACATCCTCTATCAGCGCACTTTGCACTAAAACATAATAGTGATCCCACTACACTTAGATTTTTGAGACTAGAAAAAGTTAATAGAGATTGGCGAGGAGAAGATTTAGATAAGAAGTTAGTCCAACAAGAAATGAGATGGATATTTAAATTAAAATCCCGATCACCTAGGGGCCTTAACGAGGACTTCGAGATCTGTCACTTTCTATAAGTACAATAAGAATGGTATTTAAATACATAAATGTATATGCTAAACTATTTTTCTCTTTTCTAGATATATAAGAGATAAATTCTACACCATCAAACGTAATATAGATAATGCAATGTGCAATATATAGATGTAAATAGATGATGCAATGTTTTAATGACTGGTATGAAATGTAATGTACGCACTGTAGGTTGATGATTGACAACAGAGGACATATTTAGCAACAGATTACTGTTTGTTTGTTTGTTTTTTTTAGAATTTAATATTTGGTACAAAAGATTCTGTTTATTAGATAATCCCCATTCAGAATTTTGTCCATTTCTCAGTATAGACAACTCAAATATTGATCTCTATCTATGTCTGTTGACCCTCTCTATATAGAGGAACTATACACACTATGTCAAGTTAGATGTTTGATACATTTAGGTGATAATCCCCTGGAATTTTTAATACTTTTGATTTTATTCAAATTTTGTTTTTAATAATGTTATCCCAGGGCTGGACTTTGGGTTGATATTTCTAGCTTCTAATTTTCACTTAATTGCAAGAAATATTATTTTTTGTATAATTCTATTTAGTAGATGATCCCCATCGCAATAAAAATATAAAGAATATAAATGTGATTATACATTGTTGGAAGCTAAACTATCTATAAAAGTTTTTTATGGAAAGTTTTTTATAACAATATTTTTCATAATGTGATCTTTTGGGCAATATCAGCCTGCAGTGTTGTAATCTTTACTATAGGCAGTATAAACACATTTCATAAACAGCCCTAGAAAAGACTTATGAATTGAGTGCACATACCCACAAAGAGTGGGAGGACTAGAAATAAATCCTAGTTTGATTGACTGCCCCCTCAACCAATGGCGAAACAGAAGGGGAGTGTCTGGGCATTTAAAAGACAGGGCTGAACAGGAATGATGTCGTCAGAAGAAGCCCGGGAGGCGGGTGAAACACGTCACATGTGACATCAGAGAGAGGCGGTCCCAGCAGTCACGTGACCGGAATGCAGCCGGAACCCGGAAATGTCTAAGCTGTATTGTTTTTTGTGTGTAAATTCCTGCTTATCTAGTTGTGGGTTTATTGCTGGCAAACCCACTACTTCAAGTAAGAGTTTTTAACCTTTTAATACTATTCAATTTGGGCTCCTGCCTCTCTATTTGTTTATACTGCCTAGATATTACATCTGATTCAGAAGAGTATCCTGTTTTGCTATACTGTGGGTTTATCCCTCTCCATTGGAGCAATTCAAACCCAGAGCCAGGGGTGATAGGGCTCTGGTCCATGTGAGTTGATCCCAATATATACTTTAATCTTGCATACCCTGTATATACATATAGTCTGCACTATATACTGTATATTTTTTCAGAGTACTCAGAGAAGACCCTGACTCCAGTGCAGTTGCTAGCGCACTTCAACTTTCTGGTACAGATTGTAAGAGAGTAGGAGTAAAAAGGACAGAGGAAGGAACCTTGTTGGATCAAGTGGAGATGGAAACGGTAGCCACCCTCCAGTCAGGTATTTGAGAACCAGGGCAAATGTACCAGCTTGTGCCTGAGCAGGGCAAAGTAGTAAGGCAGTCATAGATTCGAGGATCAAAACAGAAGGGAGAGCTTTCTGGAACTCTGGCATGTGGAAAGGGAATGGTTTCTGGGACTCGGGCATGGGGGGCAGAAGGGATAGGAGAGGTATTCTAATGAGGAGAAGGAGTTACTGGTTATTGGAAAGCAGCTGGCTCAGCAAGAAATAATGAACTCCATAGCATGCATGGGGGGCTGCATTGATGTCCTAGCATCTGTCTCTCAGCATGTCTGTGCTGCTCAGCTCAAGCAAATGTCTGAATATTTGAGAGCAGCAAACCGAAAGGAAGCTGTACTGGTGTCTGGGTGAACTCTACTTAACAACTTCATTGACATAAAAAATGGACACTTAAAATGTATAAATCTACATGTCCAGGCAAAACAGGACCAAGTGTAAAATGCTCCCTGCACATGGTTGTGGGGGTTGGATAATTTTTTAATGAAATTTTTTTTGAAAATTCACTTACAGTTTGAAACTTTGCAGTAGTCACAGTATGCATCTGCTGTTGGAGTGAAGTATCCAAATGCAAACACCAGACAAAGAATCTTCCACATTTTCAGTTTGATAATCTGTACAGTTATGGGAAATTCAAATTGAACATTTATAGTTTAACAACTGTCTCTGTAAATATGTTGCGTTAAAGCATTTTACTTCGCCTACTGTTTTCCAACAATTGATGTTAAATGTTCACTGTCAGCTGATGAGATTCCTGAACTTTTAATACTTTCCAGGTTTCATGGTTCTTCCTGTTCTACACAACTCCTCTTTGTCTGTGTTCCTTAAGGTTCCATGATCAAAAATCACTGAGAACTATTAGTCTCTGTCCCCACAGCTCACTAACCCACTTTTTCTTCTGCAACAGTGTCTAATTTGTAAAAACTCTTCTAGCAACCTTATACTTCCATTCCATACATGTTAAAACTACCTCTTGTGTCATTTAACCCTACTAATTAAAGGATCACTATAGTGTCAGGAAAACAAAGCAGTTTTCCTGACACTATATAGTGCTCTGAGGGTGCCCCCTACCTCAGTAAAACCCCATCAGCAGCTTACCTTATTCCAGCGCCGGGCTCCCTCGGCGCTTGTGACCTCTCCTCCCCTGCCGACCTTAGCTCCCCCGACTGACATCAGCGGAGCCGAATGCGCATGCGCGGCAAGTGCCGCACGCGCCTTCAAAGTGTCCATAGGAAAGCATTTCTCAATGCTTTCCTATGTACGCTCTGCGCGATGAAGGCATAATATGCCTCCAGCGTTGCAGATGTGCCTCTAGTGGCTGTCCAGAAGACAGCCACTAGAGGCTGGCTTACCCCATATGTAAACATAGCAGTTTCTCTGAAACTGCTATGTTTGCATCTGAAGGGTTAAAACCTGAGGGATATTGCACCCAGACCACTTCATTGAGCTGAAGTGGTCTGGGTGACAATAGTGTCTCTTTAACATGTAAGCTGGTTTGAACAGGGCCTTCACTGTCCTTTGTATTTGTATGTCCAACGTATCTGCTGCAACTATTTATTAGTCTAGATCACGGGTAGGCAACCTACGGCACTAGTGCCATGCACGGCACTCAAGGTGTCTTTGCACGGCACTCAAGGCTGCTAGAGCCAAACAGGCTCTGGCTATCAGGAGACCCAGTAAAACTTCAGATATCTGCTAATATGAAGAGGTGCTGAAGGACAATCCTCAATTTATGCATTGCAGCACATAGAGGAAGTGATCTCAGATCACTTCCTCCCGGCAATTGTGAATAGGAATCCAAACTGTAGTAGAACGCGCAGCTGCTGTTGCAGCTCCTGTCCTTGACCTGTACCTGGCCAGCCTGGTCCCCACTGGAACCCAGGGAAGCCACCCACACTGCTAGATATACACAGAAATGCATAATAACAATAACAGCCCACACACAAACATACACACAATCCCCACAAACACAACACCACTAACAATCCACATACATGCACACAACCACACATGCAGCCTCTCACATGCAATACCCCAAACAGCCCCACACATACACACACTACCAAACACACAATGTGACATATCCATCCACACACAATTCCACAAGCAGCCCTCATACACAGCCCACATCCATATGTATCATACACAATACCATAAACTATTAATGAACACACACTATAATAGCTCATATACGCACAAATACAACGATACAAAGCAATTACAGTAAAAATAACACAAGCAGAATACGGCAACATGCACACCTCAATTTAAAAAAAATAGGATCTGCACGCTACAGGACATCACAATCCTATATCGGCACAGTACTGCTAAAACGTTGCCTACCCCTGGTCTAGATATTGTTCAGTGCTGTAGAATTTCTTAGAATTTCAGAACTGGTTATTTCTATTTACATGTGACTCACTTGACTTAAATGCAATCTGTATGTGCAGTTTTTCAGCATGCAGGCGGCATATACAGAGACATCTTTAAAGATGTTCCAGAGTGTTATTTACACTTGTAGCACACATGACTTAGTCGGCATGGAACTTTGTGCGGGACTGATTAATGTCAGTTCTTTGCAAAAAATAGTTATCAGCTTCTTCTTCTAACACACCCGCATGAAGAAGCCATCCTCCTCAATTAATTCAAGTGTCTAATAGAGTTTTAGAAATCAAAATTTAACCTTGAAAATGGGTTTCGAGCAACCATTTAATGATATTGTCAATCAACTCATCTGCTTTTCAATTCTTTACAGGTTTTGTAATAGGACTATGTGAATACGTAAACATGGTGGAATATAAATAGACTGGAGAGTTTAAATGGGATGGTAATAGTTTGTACTTATGGGATACAGTTGAAAAAAAAAGATTTTGAAAATTATAAGAAAAAGTATTATGCGTTTAAAAAAAACGAGTGAATGTATGTTGCCAATGATTTAAACACATCTAAAAATTACCTTAGTTGGCCAGTTGCCTATGTGTAATGTATTTGTTTATTTCTGTCGGTTTTAAAGGGGGACTATGCACCATAACCACTACCTACTTTAAGGAGTACCGTGCCCCCACATTTGAGTAGCCAAACCGTTTAAGAAGAACACTTTGACATCCTGCCACTCCCTCCTCTGCACTTAGAAATCCATGCAATGATCTAAGTCAGCAGTCCAGGATTTCACTCTTGGCTGATGCTGATGATTGCAGGACCTAGCTCAGTGGGACTCCTTGAAGGAGGAGGAGGCAGGGACTCCTCATAGACCCCAGTTAGGTTGTTAACATTTTCTTAAATAGTGTGAGTAATTCAAACAGGGACAGGTTACATTGTTTATGGTGCTGGAGTGTTCCATTTAATAGTTGTGGGAAATTTGTGGGTGAGGTAATATTTAGAAAGATAGCAATCTGTATGACTTTGCAGGTGTTGTCTAATGATTAAAATATTCTAAATAAGCTGTTCTTAATTAGCTTGTCCCATAATATCTATTATCTATAACTTTGAAAAACTCACTATTGTAACTGTATAATCAGTGAACTTTGAAGTAATGTCTCAAACAGACCGTATCTATGTTGATGAAATAAATGTCTTCATATACGATACTGGTGTGGTGTGTCTTACTATCGAAAGACAGAAGGTGAATACATATTACTGAGCTCTGATAAAAATAAATAAAACTGTTTCAAATATACCAGGTTCTGGGGGGAAAAAAGCAATTCCTATGCCATGGCGGGAGATATTAGATCAATTGAATTTCCAATATGTAATGGAATATAATTGTATCTCTAATTCTGGTACTTGGCTATACTACTCAAAATCATGGTTTCCCTGGACAAACTATTTGTTCTAAATGCCTCAGGAAAGATATGGTTCTGTGTCGAGTCCTTACTTTATTTTTTCCTGTTTTGTACTTTTATGTTTATTTATTTATCTATTTTTATTTCTTTCTGTTTTTTTTTGTTATTCTGCGTGTTAATTGTATATTTGAATATACTGGTTAAACACTATTTTGGATCAAAACAACATATATTTAAATATGACTATGACTCAATATAAATATGATTCTAAAATATCTATATGAAATGAATTGATGTATATGTGTAAAAATAACTAAATAGAATAAACATAAAAAAATAAAATATGTTTAATTTGCTCCAGATTCCTCTTCTTATAGAAACATAGACATAGTATGTGACGGCAGATAAGAACCATTCGGCCCATCTAGTCTGCCCAATTTTCTAAATACTTTCATTAGTCCCTGGCCTTATCTTATAGTTATGATAGCCTTATGCCTATCCCACACATGCTTAAACTCCTTTACTGTGTTAACCTCTACCACTTCAGCTGGAAGGCTATTCCATGCATCCACTACACTCTCAGTAAAGTAATACTTCCTGATATTATTTTTAAATTTTTGTCCCTCTTATTTAAGACTATGTCCACTTGTTGTGGTAGTTTTTCTTCTTTTAAATATAGTCTCCTCCTTTACTGTGTTGATTCCTTTTATGTATTTAAATGTTTCTATCATATCCCCCCATCTCATCTTTCCTCCAATATATACATGTTAAGATCCTTTAACCATTCCTGGTAAGTTTTATACCACAATCCATGAACCAGTTTAGTAGCCCTTCTCTGAACTCTCTCTAAGGAATCAATATCCTTCTGAAGATACGGTCTCCAGTACTGTGTACAATACTCCAAGTGAGGTCTCACCAGTGTTCTGTACAATGGCATGAGCACTTCCCTCTTTCTACTGCTAATACCTCTCCCTATACAACCAAGCATTCTGCTAGCATTTCCTGATGCTCTATTACATTGTCTGCCTACCTTTAAGTCATCAGAAATAATCACCCCTAAATCCCTTTCCTCATATGTTGAGGTTAGGACTCTATCAAATATTCTGTACTCTGCCCTTTGGTTTTTACGTCCAAGATGCAGTATCATGCACTTATCCAAATTAAATGTCAGTTGCCACAATTCTGACCATTTTTCTAGTTTAAGTAAATCATTTGCCATTTGGCTTATCCCTCCTGGAACATCAACCCTGTTACATATCTTAGTATCATCAGCAAAAGACATACCTTACCATCAAGACCTTCTGCAATATCACTAATACAAATATTAAAGAGAATGGGTCCAAGTACAGATCCCTGAGGTACCCCACTGGTGACAAGTCCAAGCTTCTGAACTGAAGCAAATTGGGACTAGTGCTGCTCTCTATGTACAGAATAAAAGCCAGTTGTGTATCATATTCTAAAAACAAAATCTGTGTTGACCTAAAATAGGCTACATTTCTTGTGTGTGCACTTTAGACTTTTCATGGGACCCAATATTTACTAAAACTATCACATCAGCTCAGAATAGGAAATTAGTGGGGTCCACAAACTACCATTTATTTCCATTGAAACTCATTGTAATTTGAGATCATTTAATCTTTACCCAAGTTGTGCACCTCAGCTTGAAGTAAAAAGAAAATTATAAATGAAAGCTACTTGGTGAATAGAGAATTTGGTGAACATTTAGGTACCTTACATTGTATCTAACAAATCCAGCTGATTGAGCCAAATTATTTCCGTTTTCATTACTATCACTGGACCTTTCAGTTAGACTCAGTATTGGCCAAGTTTCATGTGCACAAGTCTGTGTTAGTGGTAGAACAGGAGGCACATGATGAGAATAAATTGCGTTTAAATAGTTGAGATGAAGACATAAAGCCAGATAGTGGGATACAGCAAGATTCAAGATACTAATTATCCATTTGAAATTCTTACCACGCTTCAGTGATGAGATGTGAGATCTGATCAGTCTGTGATTTGAGTCTTAGAGATGATGGGCATTTTATACACTTGAATTTGTTAATTGCTCTGTTCCAATGTACACTTGACATTTTAATTGGGAAAACAACTATAGTTTGCCCAAGGCAATTTCATCATATCCTTCTTTGAATAGGAAGAGGACTTTTATTATTTCATAATTAAATTGGCACATTCTTTTTTACATTCATTCAGAACTCATTGTTCATCACAATAAGCTAAATCAGGTGTGATACACTCAATGTATCAAATTGTAATTCCTATACCACTGTGCAAGCCTTTGGTTTACATATAATAGCTGATGAAGCGCACTCAGTGGACTACAGTGTTCAATAAAGCAAAACAATTTTTTTTTTTACATAACAAGTTTTGTCAACGTTTCAGTCCTCGAACAGACTTTCATCAGATTCTGATGAAAGTATGTTAAGTACTTAATCATTGACAAAACTTAAGGTATGTAAATAAATATTGTTGTGATTTACAAAACACATGTCTACTGAGTGCGCTTCATCTGTTATTTTCATAAATATATATATAGGTATAAAGGGTACACTCAAAGATCATCCAATTTGACAAAAATGTGGACAGTCAACATTTCGACCTGATGGGTGATCTTGAGAAAGACCCATAGGGTCAAAATGCCAATTTTGACCCTATGGGTCTTTCTCAAGATCACCCATCGACAGCGTTCCAAAAAGTAAATTTTTAAGATTACGAAGAAACTGCATTGATTTAGATAATTTTAACGAACAAGCAGATATTTTAAAAAATACATTTATGGAGAAGAACTATCCAGAAATAGATCTATTGAAAAATATTAATGAAGTAAAAACTATCGACAGAGATGAACTTTTAAAATATAAAATAAAAACCAAAAATTATTCTATATGTCTCCCTATCACTTTCGACTACAATAATAAAAGTAAAGAAATTAAAAAAATTTCAAAAAAAAATTGGAATATTTTAGAACAAGATGAAAAACTTAAAGAAATTATTCCAAACATAGTTTTTAGAGGAGCTCCTAATTTAAAATCTATTTTAACTACTAATTTTACCCAAAAAATCAAAAATATGAATTCAATATCATTTTTTCTTCAAGCAAAAGGTTTTTATAAATGCAAAACGTGTATTGTGTGTACAACTACCGATTCCACTCTACCATCTAAAATTATTGAATTTACTTCCAATAGAACGAGACCCACCTATCCAATTAAAGAATTTATAAGTTGTAACACCAAAAATGTGATTTATTTGCTTGAATGCCCTTGTGGCTTCCAGTACGTTGGAATGACCACAAGGTGCCTGAAAATAAGGATAAGCGAACATTGTAGAAACATTAAAAATGTATACTTAAATCATTCAGTATCAAAACATTTTTTAAATCACGATAAAGACCCTAAATTATTAAAATGTATGGGAATTACAAAATGTACAATACCATGGAGAGGAGGCGATATGAATATTTTAGGTAAAGTGGAAATGGAATGGGTTTATAAGCTACAAACCCTTACACCACAAGGCCTCAATGCAGATTTTGATTTGCATAACTTTTTATAACTTTTTAACATTTCTTACATTTTTTACTTAATAGTATCATTTTAAATTTTAACCATATATTTATTTTTTATTTTTACCTATCTAATATATTAATATCTGCTCCTAATCCATTCATTTTTTTTTTTTTGTGTCCTCAATTCATTTTATTGTGTCCCCTATTCTGTGTTTTTAACATGCAATATTTGTATGCAAATTATTTTAATTATCTAATATGTACTTCATGTATTGATACAACCCTTATATATACATGTTAATACCTAACTTTTGGTCTTATGATAAACATAATGCTCGTTTTTATAACTTTAAAATAACCTAAATCTATGTTAACTATTATCTAAATTCTGAAGGTGAACGGCTAACTAATAATGTTCCTGTCAGCCGCTCATTATTTCTTGCATTGACCGTCAGAAACTAAACTACTCTGCTCTTTTCCGCCGGTCACGTGCCGCGGCGCCTTTCGCCGCCCACAGACATTGTGTCGCTCAGTAATTCCAGCAGTGACCGGCATACACTACCCATGAGCCCTCGCTTGCCCCTGCTGGTCACGTGCTGCGGCGTCATACTCCCGATCATGTGATTTATTCTAACATAAATTATTATAAAAACGAACGCTCGTTTTAAATGAAAAAACTATATTTTGTATAAGATACTAATATTATATATATATATATATATATATATATATAAATAAATATAAATATTTTTAGTTTGGGTTAATTTGACAAACATGCAAAATATTTTGTTAATTCTTGCCGGTAATTGGTGCACTTGTTTTAGGCGCCAATTTCAACTATTGTATATTTGTTATAT